CTCATATTTAGCACATTAAGATATAAGGTCATGTGGCCGAATTGCTCGGCCCCCTAGCCTGTTCTAGCGGCAGCACTCGACCAAGAAATTGTCTTAACCCAGCCTAATTCTAAAATAATACAAACTAAATAGAAATAATTTTGCTAAAAATTAGTTGGTTATGTAGAAAATTCATAAAAGGGGAGGGAGGTCCGCGTGCCGTTCAAAAATCGTTATAAATCGTTATCCTGGACTAACCAGTGCGAAAATTTGAATTTAATCACGTTTTGGTTTATTATAATTGAAGAATCTTAATACCTAGGAAGTTTTACTCTTTCACTTCAAAAGTACAGGCTTAAAAGGTCAAATTGTGATGATTGCTTGATGGAGTAAGGAGGCCAACTGTTAAAACTGTGTGGGCCAAGCTTGTTAATCGGGGCCTCTGATGCCCTCTTTTTCCTATCAGTTTTTGAACTATAATATATTAAATCTAAAACAAACCTGATTAGTGTCCAGCAGCTTAAACATTTCGCGTCCCCTGAAAAAAACAAGCAGATATTTAGAATATTAAGGTCGTCTTCTTTCGTCGCCGAGTTTTGGCGGAAAACCCGTATAGTTCGAAAAAAAAATCAAAATACTCATCGATCTAGGTTTCACGACTTATACAGTGTCTGCGGGAGACAACTGAAAGTTTCCAAACGTAAATATTAAACTGCTTTTTATTCGAAAAGGTTAGTGTCGAATTCTGCTTCGGATTTGCAAAGTAAAAATGTTCAATAAAGACGACTTTTTGTACAGTTCAGCCCAGAACTTCAGAGGGTGGTGGATTTTTCGACCTACGCAAATCCGCTATACTCCACTTCTGACCTACGCCAAATCCGCTCTACTACACATCCGAACTACTAGCACGTGGTATTACAGCTGNCTAACCATAACTCTCAAATATTTCAAAAATAAACAGCTGGCGTAGGTCCGATATTGCAGTAGGTCGGAAAGTTAGTAGGTCAGAAGTTCAGTAGGGGGGATGTTGCGTATAGACGATGTAACATTACCCTTCAGAGACACCGAAAGAATCTATACTATAAAATGTCGTTTACTAAACCTACTAATAATGGAGTGCTGCAGATATTCAGCTTTTCATTTGAATACTTATATTGAGCGCTTAACTGCAGTATTCGCATATTTCATGGCTATTCATTTATTCTTACAGTTACTGAGATTTAGGGATAATTGTAGAAACCCAATTGAAAACCTCTCAAGGTTACTTTTTATAAACTCTTTTCATGTCTCCGAGATCTCCGAACTTCCGAAGTTCTGATTTAAACAATATAATCAATAATAATTTGAAATTGAAAGAGATTGACTTGTAATGTTCCAGAAAAATGCACTTTTACATTTCAAAAACATGAAATAAAATATTGAAAATAATTTTGGTATCATCAATTATGTATTTGATGTATTTGTTGGATGAAGACGACAGTTAACGTTCATTGTGACTGAAATCTGTACCTGGTTGAACATTCAGAATTCCACTTTTTCAGATCTGGAATAATTTCAGAACTTCTAAATTTGAAAAAAATGCTTATTTTATAATAAACAGAAATACCCACAAAAGATGAAACTGTAGAGACGACTGTACGGAAATAAACTCACTCACATTTCTCAAATTCGTAGAGCTGCAGCTGTAAACTTATTTATTTATTATTATTAAATTTAAAACAATATCTTGGACTGACAACTTAGTTTAACTTTAAACTGTCATATTTAAAAAGTTTCAGGTCAGTGTGTAGTCCTGTATCTATTGTTTACATTTGAAAACTATATTAGCTAGCAGATGTGTGTCTTTCTAAAAGACTATTGAAGCAAGTTCTAAGCTTTGCATTAGATTTATTTCTAATTCATGCAAAAATTACCTCAACACAGTTCGTGGCAGAAATTTATTTTCCATTGCAAATAATTGTTCTGTAAATCTTTCGGATCTTAGTAAAATNTATTATTATTATTCGTATTATTATTTTTATTATTATACACTTGATAGAATGGGACCAGACGAAGATCCCTCCATTTTTTCTTTTTTTTTACCAAGACGCGTACTGCAAGAAAACAAGTTGAAAAGAAAGTTACGGTAGTACTTGGTTTATTTTTTCAGCATCACCAATTTATTGAGATGATCACGAAATTGTCATTAGGGTTTCCTACGAAATGGGAAAATATTTCGCCGCAAAATTTGCGAACAGAAATGCGAAAATTTCGCTTTTTTTCGGGAAAAAAATGCAAAATTTCGATAAAAGTGTAAACATTTAAGTAAGAAACATTTTAGTAAGACAGAATTTTTTATTATCATATTAAGTTCTGAAATTAGCTTTGCAACCTAGACCTTTGATATTTCAAACAGCAGGTTGCAAAGATGTAGAAATCAAATTCGACAATTTAAGCGAGTGGCAAAAACTCAGTTCCTTTATTCTTCCAATGTTTCCCGAGCTCTATATTCCTTGGACAAGCAATATAGTGTATTGGCGCCGGGGGGTAGAAACTTGTTGAATATTCAAACAAAAAGTTATAAACTTTGTAAATGTTTGCACTATTTTATACAACCTAAGTGGGAAATAGGCTTTTAATTTCTGTTATTTATTGAATTCACAAAAAATGTAAAAAATGTTGAATATCTAAGATCTTTAAGATAACAATTTTAACACAAAACTTAGTCCTCTTTTAAGCATCAATTTTTTATTTATATTTTATAATTAAAGGCCGGGTTCATAAAATTTTATAAGATGATTACGTCGAAATTTTCAATCAAATTTTGTAAAATTTTTTTTAACGAAATCCTCTTTCATAAGACTTTTTTGTAAAACACTTTTCAAATCATAAAAAATATCATTTTTTGTTACAAAACAAAATATATCTAAATTGTTCTATATTACTCTGTGAAATGTTACTTGGAAAACTTTGTTTGAAATAAACAATATATGATTTTAGATTTGTAGCTTTAAAGGGACAGTAAAGGAAAAAATAAAGGGGGTATAGGCTGAAAGCTAATCACTTTAGCTCTTGATCGCGACCCATATGAAAGTTAGATCTGATGTTTCTGTTTCGAGAAATTGATATAAAACTGTGTCCAATTTATACGAAAATTCATATATATANATAAATTTAAAAAACCGGTTTTAAAATTATAAACATTGATATCTGAATATTACTTGATCAGACAAAACTTTTATGGATACCTTTGTGTTTTTGGCATTGTTATTTTGCATTTAGGGTCGCTCTAAATTACGCGTACAGTTTCTTTTAAGTAACAAAATGATCAAACTTCAATACACGCCCTAATAAAACGGAATGAAAGTAGTCTTTTTTCCATATTTAATTAAGAAAGTCACTGAAGATTTTCATTATATTGGATATGTTTTAACAATTAAAAATTCTAACATTCATAACAACATTTATTTTAAAGATTGGACAAAGACAACTTTTATTGCTAGTTATGCTGGTCATTACTGTTTTCAAGCGCAAGCCCTCACATCTGATTTGATTTTTAACAAGTCTTTCATTAAATATACATTTTGCAGTATTTGTGTAGTTAAATAAAATCATGCTTAGAAGTATTTTTCAAAGCTGCTTTTAAAATGTTTAGAATGGAATCATTTCGAATATCATCTCAATATTTTTTTTATTTTGACACAATTTCCCGGTCTTTAACCTTGTAATGATATGATACAGTGGTTGAGGATTATATAAATATCATGAAGACGACTTGCGATTTCAATTTTGATTTATATCAAGAGCTGTTAAACAGCATGGATACACATAAACATAGAACCCAAGAGAAGCTGTCAATTATAAAACCTTCTCTTTGATTACTTAAAAACTTGTAATTCGAAAAAAGCTTGTTAACAATCAAATCTTAAATAAAAAAGTCGTCTTCATGGTATTGTTATAATCGCTACCACTGTAAAAATTACTAAATTTCGAAGCTGGGACAGAGAACGGCAACGAGAGATGTCACATATAAATTACCTGAGTTCAATTGTGTTAACTGTTTCAATTATGTTGGTTTGCTGAATCCATGCTGCTGGGATATACAAGCAATCTCCTGTATATGGTCATGTTGTACACATTGGTCTTTTTATAACAAACATTTTTATTCAACTTTGGTAGAGTTTGTATAATAAGTGATAGACTTGATTCGTTATTCAGGTTTCAGCTCTTTTTAAATGCACTACACAAATACTGAGTACTTTTAACATTTCAAAACTGTATTCGAACCAAGCTAGATGTATACTATTACAATTTAGTATTTGCAATTTTGAATTTAAACTTTACAGTTCAGTTTTATGCAATCATCAAATATCTCTTTAAAGATAATGAATTTTTTATTACAGTGAGAAAAGTGTCCGTCCAAACTAAATTATTATTATCAATAAATTTAGACAATTTTATGTCAATCAAAGAACACATTTCGTCCATTTTCTTTCTTGTTTATACATTTTAGAAGTTTTCAGTTATCTTTTTTTTCATAAATTATAAATTAAGGTACCTTGGGAATCGTTTATGACAAATTTCAAATAAAAAAATCTTCAGAACTACAGGGTGTCCCACAAAGCCTGACAGTTGGTGAATAGTTTTAAATTTCTTCTTCCAAAAATTTTTTGATACCAAGTTAATAATAAGTAAATATTATATGGCAGTTCTATTATTGCAAAATTGATCTCAAATTAAAATACATTTAAGTAAATGATTTTTCAACGAAATAAACTGAAAAAAGTCATTAATATATAATACAGTGTATGGAAGAAGACATTCAAAACTATTCACTAAATATCATGTTTCGTGGGACACCCTGTATGCTGATAAAACATAACCTGGTCCTAACAGAGCAACACGATACTTTCCAACTTTGGCCGCCTCCGGATATTTAAGGTAGTCAACCCGTAAACTAAAATAATAAAATATACCAATTAATTACGATTAGAAAAAAGTACAGGTGTCATTACAGGAATGTACACTGCACAGTACAGTAAATTACAGTAACGTTCAGTAAAGTACTGTTTTATTACAGTACATTTTAGTACAGTACTGTATAGTACAGTACAGTTTAGAACAGTAGAGTTTAGTACAGTAAAGTTTAGTACAGTATACAGTTTAGTTACAATACTCTATAGTACAGTACAGTTTAGTACAGTACAGTTTAGTACAGTATACAGTTAAGTACAGTATACAGTTTAGTACAGTACATTTTGGTTACAAAACTGTATAGTACAGTACAGTTTAGTACAGTACAGTTCAGAACAGTACAGTTCAGAACAGTACAGTTTAGTACAGTTCAGTACAGTACACCTGTTAATAAAACTTCCTTTTTCACCAGAAGATTGATCCAAGTCGAGAATTCTTGTAATTTCGGGGTATTCTCTTTCTCAAAACAATAATTAGATTTGATTCTGGAAATTGTTTGAAATAAAATTATTTTTCCTTAGACTTCACCCGTCTACAGTCTACAGACCCACTAAGTAATGAATATCAATGGCTACTTAAAAAGGCAAGGTTGCCCTGAAAAGCGATCGTAAATTTTAGAAAATCTAATTTTTTATTAAAAAGAATTAACTTATTATTTTTATCAAAAAATATTATTGTGCCTTGGATCAGCAAGGATCACTTCCTTCTTCCCATCAAGCAGGCAGGTTAGCAGGTCATTCTCATCCTAGACATTTAAACATCGACCTTCTTCTTAACCTAGCAGGCAGGTTAGCAGGTCATTCTCATCCTAGACATTTAAACATCAACCTTCTTCTTAACCTAACAGGCAGGTTAGCAGGTCATTCTCATCCTAGACATTTAAACATCGACCATCTTCTTAACCTAGCAGGCAGGTTAGCAGGTCATTCTCATCCTAGATATTTAAACATCGACCTTCTTTTTAACCTAGCAGGCAGGTCAGCAGGTCATTCTCATCCTAGACATTTAAACATTGACCTTCTTCTTAACCTAGCAAGCCGGTCAGCAGGTCATTCTCATTCCAAGACATTTAATCATCGACTATCTTCTTAACCTAGCTGGCAGGTCAGCATGTCATTCTCATCCTAGACATTTAAACATCGACCTTCTTCTTAACCTAGCAGGCAGGTCAGCAGGTCATTCTCATCCCAGTCATTTAAACATCGACCTTCTTCTTAACCTACCTGGCAGGATAGCAGGTCATTCTCATCCTAGACATTTAAACAATGACCTTCTTTTTAACCTAGCAGGCAGGTCAGCATGTCATTATCATCCTAGACATTTAAACATCGACCTTCTTTTTAACCTAGCAGCGGGTCAGCATGTAATTTTCATCCTAGACATTTAAACATCGACATTCTTCTTAACCTAGCAGGCAGGTCAGCAGGTCATTCTCATCCTAGACATTTAAACATCGACCTTCTTCTTAGCCTAGCAGGCAGGTCAGCAAGTCATTCTCATCCTAGATATTTAAACATCGACCTTCTTTTTAACCTAGCAGGCACGTCAGCAGGTCATTCTCATCCTAGACATTTAAACATCGACCTTCTTCTTAACCTAGCAGGCAGCGTCAGCAGGTCATTCTCATCCTAGACATTTAAACATCGACCTTCTTCTTAACCTAGCAGGCAGGTCAGCAGGTCATTCTCATCCTAGACATTCAAACATTGACCTTCTTCTTAACCTAGCAGGCAGGTCAGCATGTCATTTTCATCACAGACATTTAAACATTGACCTTCTTATTAACCTAGCAGGCAGGTCAGCAGGTCATTCTCATCCTAGACATTTAAACATCGACTATATTCTTAGCCTAGCAAGCAGGTCAGCAGGTCATTCTCATCCTAGACATTTAACCATCGACTATCTTCTTAACCTAGCAGGCAGGTCAGCATGTCATTATCATCCTAGACATTTAAACATCGACCTTCTTCATAGCCTAGCAGGCAGGTCAGCATGTCATTCGCGCATATTACAGACATTTTAGTCATTTATAATTGGTAAACATGTAGTCCCACAAAAATCAGCGAAGCTTTTCCATTTGATTTCCTTACATATTATGCCACATTTTGATCCATAGATAAAACAGCATGGATTAAGTAGAAACAACTAGCAAAAAACAATCGTTTAAAAAGGATCGTTTTTTGGTTAACTTTTCATTGATCTTTTTCTTAGGATAAAATATTGCAAATTGTTGCATAAAAGAAAAAAGAATAAAGTTTTGAGTTTTAAAGTTTAAAAAATATGTAATTACCTGTAATAAGGGGAGTGGAAATGAACGTCCAATAACAACATGCCGTGTCTCAACTAAATGGGGGATACACATAAACATAGAACCCAAGAGAAGCTGTCAATTATAAAACCTTCTCTTTGATTACTTAAAAACTTGTAATTCGAAAAAAGCTTACTAACAATCAAATCTTAAATAAAAAAGTCGTCTTCATAGTATTGTTATAATCGCTACCACTGTAATAATTACTAAATTTCGAAGCTGGGACAGAGAACGGCAACGAGAGAGGTCACATATAAATTACCTGAGTTCAATTGTGTTAACTGTTTCAATTATGTTGGTTTGCTGAATCCATGCTGCTGGGATATACAAGCAATCTCCTGTTTTCCTTACATATTATGCCACATTTTGATCCAGAGATAAAACAGCATGGATTAACGAGCAAAAACAATCGTTTAAAAAGGATGATCGTTTTTTGGCTAACTTTTCATTGATCTTTTTCTTAGGATAAAATATTGCAAATTGTTGCACAAAAGAATAAAGAAAAATTTTTGAGTTTAAAAGTTTAAAAAATATGTAATTACCTGTATTAAGGGGAGTGGAAATGAACGTCCAATAACAACATGCCGTGTCTCAACTAAATGGGGTGTTAGATAGGAACACCGCAGACATCTAAAAAATTATGAATTTAAAATTTGAAAAGATTAGATTTATATTTTAATGAATTTAATGAAGTCTTAACTTACCTTGGCAAAGTGATGAATTTCTTGATGTTATTATTGACATTATCTTGTAGGTAGATTTCTTCATGAATATGCTAAAACAAAATCAACTTAGTTTTATAACAGACCTAAAAGAATATAAAGATCTCGAAGAAATGACCAAATATTAAAATATTGTTAAACAACTTGAGATAATTGTTTTCCTTTGAGAACTCCCTGAGGCTTCTTCTATCCTTCTCTTCTTCAACAAATCTAGAAACTTCTGAAATACAAAAAAAAGTAATAACTCATATTTGAAAATGTAATTATGCCAGTGGTGGTCTCCGATAAAAGGAGGTTGTCTCTGATGAAAGGAGGTGGTCTCGGATGAAATGAGGTGGTTTCCGATGAAAGGATGTTGTCTTCAATGACAGGAGATGGTCTCCGATGAGAGGAGTAGATTTCCGATGAAAAGAGGTGGTCTCTGATGAAAGGAGGTGGTCTCCGATGAAAGGAGTAGGTCTCCGATGAAAGGAGTAGGTCTCCGATGAAAGAAGGTGTTCTCTGATGAAAGGAGGTGGTCTCCGATGAAAGGAGTAGATCTCCGATGAAAGGAGTAGGTCTCCGATGAAAGGAGTAGGTCTCCGATGAAAGGAGTAGGTATCCGATGAAAGGAGGTGGTCTCTTATGAAAGGAGGTGGTCTCCGATGAAAGGAGTAGGTCTCCGATGAAAGGAGGTGATTTCTGATGAAAGGAGGTGGTCACCACTGAAAGGAATAGGTCTCCGATAAAAGGAGGTGGTCTCCTATGAAAGGAGTAGGTCTCCGATAAAAGGAGGTGGTCTCCGATAAAAGGAGTAGGTCTCTGATAAAAAGAGGTGGTCTCTGATAAAAAGAAAGATATCTTCAATATGCAAATAAGGTTTTTCTCCGGTAAAAAAGCATCTATTTCCCAAAAATTTATTTTCAGAAAATTACGGGATCTCATTGCCAAGAGGATTGAGGAACTATATAATAAACTATTCCAAAATAGTTTTTTTACCGAAAAAAAACCTTATTTGCATATTAAAGATATCTTTTTAATTTTTTAAAGATTTGTTAAGGTAAGCTTACCTATAAAAGACAGGGCAGCAAGTCCAGAATTATTAAGATTAGAAAGTTTTAACTGGTCCGCTTCCAGCCCTCCCGCAGCTAAATTCTTGGTAAAAATATTCATCGTTTAATCTAATTTCAAATTGTAATATTACCATTTTCAAATATAACTGGAAGCCTAGGCTCCACAAAATTCTTGTAAAAATCAGCTGCACCAGGAAATTCTGTAAGTAAAACTTTTTAATTCACTTTTTTTTCTTACAGGAACTATATGTTACCTTTTTTGTAAGCCGAAGGCACCTTTATTCTTGGATGCATACTGCCTAACTGCTTTAAATGACCTGTAAGAGTAAAAATTACCCGACCCGGCGTTGTTCGTGGAATTATTCAAAAATTGAAAAAATATAAGATAAAAAAAATTAAAAATCAAAAAAAATTTTATTTTAAAAAATCGAATTTTTTAGCCTATGTTACTCCAGGTTACTCAAGAGTTCCCTAAAAAACTATCAGTCCATTCGGTCCAGCCGTTCGGCCCACTTATAGCTTCGACTTATATGAATGAGTGAAGAGCTTTATTATAAAGACTACAGTGGAGACCAGAAAAAAAATCAACTATTGTCGTCTTCTTGTTCTTTTGATTTCATGATTAGCAAAAAATAGTGTTAACAAACTGTCCAAAACATTTTAAAGATATCTTAATTGCAACATGATGGCACTAGAAGTGCCGGGCCAACTTTTAACCAGCTAGAGCATGCTGTACAGTACTATTCAGACTGTGTAAGGCAACCCGGGACAAAACTCAAAATGTCATACTTTAACCCTGGGCTTTATATATATTTGAAGATATAAAAGTAGTTTTATATCCCATGTGACATTATTAATATGTTTAAAAGACGAGTTATCAATTATCATACATATGGGAACACAGCTAGCCAGGACTATAAAGGGGAGAGCAGGGTCAACAAAGTGATTCCAAATTTGAAAACCACTTTAATATCCCGGTGCGAAACCAGCCTGGACAATAAAATTGGCTTTGAATAAATTTAAAATACTTAAGTCTGGAAAAGGAGGGAAAATAATGCAGTAAAGAGTCCTGACAGGGATATAAAGTAAACTACATACCCGGCCATTTACTTGGAGAATCCGACCAAGAAACACCAGAGGGAGGCCATTCAATACCAGTTTCAGAAGAGTCTGACAGAACCTTTACAAAACAGCAGGATTAACATGTGGGCCCTTTGCACCTGAAGACCATATGTTTAAATACCGAGTGTTTCTCAACTTTAAATACCTAAAATGCCGAGAACCTTATAATTATCTAACATTATTTTAAAAACATTTATTCTTTCAAATTGTACAATTAAAAAAAATGTGAAAAAATATAATAAAAATTGTCTGCAAAAGGTGTTAAAATTACTGAAAAAATTATTAATGAATTTACTGGCATTTGACACAATATTTATGGCTTTTCAGGCATTTCAAAACATTAAATATTCAATTCCCAGCTGAGCAGAAAGTTTTTATTTTTTTCATTATTTTTTCACGATTTAACACGAACTCAAATCATAATTAGGTGGACAGGAGCGAGGTTATAGTATATAGAGTGATGATTTACGCTAATCCTTTACTCATATTTTCATATTTTATTCAACTACAAAGCACGAGATAATACAAATAAAAAAATCACAATTTACTATGTAGTTTGGACCCGCCTAACCAGAGTAGGTTGTTTTAATTGGTTGGCCCACTATAAACGAATGAGAATTGCAGATAAAAACAATGTACATTGTACATTTTATACATGAGAATGATGATAAATCAGGAAAATCAGGCCATGTACTTTACTTTCAAAGGTCAATCTGCATATTATAGTACTCGGGGGTGATCTCTGAAAATATTTAAATGGAGAATTTGTTTTCCATTTAACTATTAAAATCCCCTACTCCTTTATCATGTGCAGGATTACATTTTCACAGGAAGACGTACTTTAACAGTCTTTTACAGAGCAATATTTCATCGTTAATAAACTGTTCTTAGAAAACTGAGCAAAATTCAAGATACAAAACCTCCCCATACACTTGCACTCCGAAAGCGTTTGTTTTTAATCTTTGTGAAGAAACAATCTCAAGAACTGACGAGGGTCAACCCAGACCGAAATATATTTTCAATAAATGTGGAACTAACATCTACTTTTTTACTCTACTGAGGTTTGGTCCATCGCCATCACTGAATTTTAAATCTGCATATTTGATCAAGTGTACACTCAGGCAAATATACACGGAGAGGTAGCTAAGATCCCCTGGTGGACAGACATAGGACAGGATGGAAGTTCATCAATCCAATACTGGAGTTTCCCGTATTGAAAGGATACGTGCAGAAATCACTGCAAATCAAGATGTACAAGCTCGCTCACAAAAATCAAGCAGTATTTTTCCAATTACTTCTTTCAGCCTTAAGCTAGAAACAAGTTTGCTACATTTTTACAGTTTAGGTTGTCTAAACATTTGAGGACTAAGTTTTAAAGTTGTCTATATCTTAGTGAAATGGATTATCCGTATTTAACCAGGGGGATGATAGTTTCCTACCTGTGTGCTCAGTTTGCTGTATGTACTGTTCACTTACAACTGTTTACTAATAATAATATAGGTAAGGCCAGAATCTCCTAATAGTGATCAAATATTCAGTACGCTCTCGTTATATTTCATAGCCTATACAATAAGGATTTATAGCGTACATCATCACTTTATACACTATATCCTCGTTGGTATTTAACGACACCATCACCACAACACTACGCAATTCTCTCTCAGTGCGCATATTTTTGTACTGCGTAAATCAAATCTTTTGTGTGAAATGGCTTTAATGTCTTCTTCCTATTCCATTGATTTCTGGTTATCACTGTATATATATTTATATAGTTCCATATCTAAAGCCTCGAATTGAAATTATACAACAATATCTTTAACTCTTTTTTATTCTTTAAACAGGTGGGGATAGATTTGGAACATGTTTAAACCCAAACTTAACATATAACTAAATAAGTACTTAACACATTGTCTATTATGTAAAGTAGTAATCTCTGTTTATATGATTATATGTTCAATTGTAACCCATGAACCCCTAGACCGATTTGCCTCAAACCTTGGTTTTAGATTCTAAGTTGAGTGGGTCGACTTTTATAATGGACAAATTCGTAATTTAAAACTAAGCTCGAGTGAAAGGCGGGAGTAACCCGGGCAAGACTGGGTTCCCAAGCTAATGTACAATAATATTTTCAGTAAAGAAACAGTTTAACACAAATAAACATATAAACATCTGATTTGGAGGATTTGAAGTATTAAATTTCAATAGAATTGCACAATAAATTCTCTCTAATGGTAAGCTGCGGTGACAGTTGGATTTGCGATGTAAATTATTCTTTTCAAATCAATCTCTTATTTTCAAGATTATCATTTACTTTACATCCTAAAAACAAGATTAAATATAATTACTATTGCATATATATAATATTTATGTATTTCCATGCAAACTGTACACTGTGAGGTTCGATCAAGGAGTATAGAATAGAAGGGAGATACAACTGACGCGGCCCGCCCTACCATATGATTATACATGCTTTGCAGATGGTACTCCATTTGTATAAGAAATATTCAGAAAAGGTTATTGTATACGCGGTAATTGTACATCAGACAAATAAATTAACTGTACATAATAATAAATTAAAATGTATTTTGGTTTAATGTTTATATTATTTAGAGTAAAGGTAAGTGTAAAATATACAGTGTACATTTTACAGTATACAGTGTAAAATGAATGTAAAACGCACGATTGTAAAGTGAGTACAGTAGTTTGTACTATGTACAGGGTGCACCCTAAGCAATGTAAAGTTTACAGTGTACAGCATATTGTGAACTGTGCGGTGTACAGTATGCTTTGCACGATGTACAGCATTCACTTTATTGTATTTTACTTTGTGCTGTATAACGTGAAGTAAGTGTACAATGAACACTAAAAAGTACACAGTTTGTAAGTTCCAGCAGCTTGTACAAATGTACATTGCGCATGTACAGTTACCTGGATTTGCGGCTGATCTGCTGCTGACTGTACCGTACTGTAAACCCAAAAGACGAGAATATATCCCAACATTTTCATCTCCTTCATCTACAAGTAAAAATAAGAACTTTCTCATAAAATGGGGCACACAATTTCAAATTTCCCGGCTTCTGATACACTTTTCCGAATACAAACCCTTTTGTGGGACCAAACTATAGATTTAATTAATATTGAGATTCATAAAAGAAGAGAACAATCTCAATATCCACAATTCTAAAATGTTTAGCTCAGAATAAAATAAAATGAAAAATTCTTGTTTAAAACAATATTTGTCTCATATGTCATTTATAGGTAAACATTTCTATTTTTAACATTTTCCGTTCAAATGTCTTCATGAAAAGATTGGATCATACATTTTGATTCTTACAAACTATTAATCACTTAAAATCACGTTAAAGGGTTCGTTCATAATAATGCTCAAGAGTTTTTTATCCTAAGAATTTTTGATAAAATTTCCTTTCTTTACAAATTTACAATTGGATGCCCGTTTATCATTGGCCCAACCTTTATTCTGTTTAACCAATCAGAAGACATTGGGTCTGATGTTAGACCTCAGAAGACATTGGGTCTAACATTAGAGCTCAGAAGACATTGTGTCTAACGTTAGACCTCAGAAGACATTGTGTCTGATGTTAGACCTCAGAAGACATTGTGTCTAACGTTAGACCTCAGAAGACACTGTGTCTGATGTTAGACCTCAGAAGACATTGTGTCTGATGTTAGACCTCAGAAGACATTGTGTCTGATGTTAGACCTCAGAAGACATTGTGTCTGATGTTAGACCTCAGCTCAGAAGACATTGTGTCTAATGTTAGACCCAAGTGAAGAACCGGGCTTAACTTAACTCTCGAGCGTAAAGAAGTTAAAATTTTAGCTCTAATGCGGAACACGTTGAATATATAAATAAGTATAGTTTGTAAACACATCTAACTTCAGGAGAGATAACACAATATCATGGCTTACAGATATATATATATATATATCATAGGTAGGGATGGAGTGAGAGAGGGGGAGCGGCTTTAGTAAGTACTAAGTAGGTGAGTGGGTTGGGTTCTATTTTTTTCTTACTCTTTTAAACATCTTTTATCATTTCTTAGAAATATTTTTGTATTTATTCTTATCCATTCCCTTTGTGCGCTCTTCTCTTTTCTTTCTTCAATAGCTTTTGCCGGGTTTCTACAATCTACATTTTCCTTTTACTATATATTGACTAATAATAAACAGTTTTGGCAGCCAGCCATTTAAAATGAAAACACTGCACCTAGACTTTCACAGATAGTTTAGTTACTGCCGTACACTTTACAATATACAGATACATCAAGAGATAGTTTAGCTACTGCCGTACACTTTACAATATACAGATACAACAAGAGAAAACAGATAGTTTAGTTACTGCTGAACACTTTACAATATACAGATACAACAAGAGATAGTTTAGCTACTGCCGTACACTTTACAATATACAGATACAACAAGTGATAGTTTAGTTACTGCCGTACACTTTACAATATACAGATACAACAAGAGATAGTTTAGTTACTGCCGTACACTTTACAATATACAGATACAACAAGAGTAAAACAACAAAAAATAGAAATTGCAAGTGAAGATTTATCTGTGAGTCGGGATCACTAGATTCTAAGTGAACTAAGAGTTTTGAAGAAGCAAAGAACTCAGTAATAAAAAAGTATCAATGCTTGGAAGGAATTGGAAAGGAAATATTGTAAGGAACTAGAAAGGAAATATTGAAAGAAGACTAGAAAGGAAATATCAAAAAAAAACTAGAAAAGATATATTGAAAAGAAACTAGAAAGGAAATATTAAAAGGAAACTAGAAAGGCAATATTAAAAGTAAACTAGAAAGGAAATATTGAAAGGAGACTAGAAAGTAAATATTAAAAGGAAACTAGAAAGGCAATATTAAAATTAAACTAGAAAGGAAATATTGAAAGGAAACTAGAAAGTAAATATTGTAAAGAACTAGAAAGGAAATACTAAAAGGAAACTAGAAAGTAAATATTAAAAGTAAACTGGAAAAGGAAATATTGAAAGGAAACTAGAAAGGCAATATTAAAAGTAAACTGGAAAGGAAATATTGAAAGGAAACTAGAAAGGCAATATTAAAAGTAAACTGGAATTGAAAATATTGAAAGGAAACTAAAAAGGCAATATTAAAAGTAAATTAGAAAGGACATTTTAAAAGTAATCTAAAGAGAAATTTTGAAAGAAACAAAAAAATTGGAGAGGGACTAAGAAATGGATTATTGAACAGATACTAGAGAGAAAATATTGAAAATAAGCTGAAAAGGAAATTCTGAAAAGAAAATATAAAGGAAAAATTAAATGGAACTAAGAAAGGAAATATTGAAAGAAGACTAGAAAGTTACCCAAAAAAGTATGTTTTTTAAAAATAAAACTAAAAAACAAAAGATTTTATTTTGAAAGTTTTATCACATGAAATTTTCAGAAAAAATGTAAATTTGAATCATGGTTGTTTTTATTATCCTATTGGTCTCCAGCTTTGTGGAAAGTAGTCTAGGAAAAATAATAGCTTACGATGGAAAAATATTTGCTGGTGAGAAACATAAAGTTTTCTTTTGTTCACATGCATGGTGTTCCATTAAAAATGGGAAATAAAGAAAGATTTAAAAATTAATTAAAATGTTAATTGACGAAAGGGTGAATCCAATGAAATGCAAATTAAAAGAGAATTAGAACTTTAGACGATTGATACAGGGTGTCCCACAAAACATGACAGTTGGTGAATAGTTTAAAATGTCTTTTTCCATACTTTGTTAAGTTGTTTGATACCAAGAAGAATAATAAAATATATTTCATGGCAGTCACATTATAGTGATATTGATTTCAAAATAAAATATATATCAGTAAAACGTTTTTAAAACTAAATAATCCGCAAAAAGTCTTTAATATTTGCATACAGTATATGGAATAAAACATTCAAAACTATTCACCAGCTGTCAAGTTTCGTGGGACACCCTGTATCTTCAGAAGGAGTATTTGAACTGATGTACTAGTGTTTCTATTGTGAGGTATTGGAACAGCTCTCAACTAGTTTTATAACATTTTGTATTCGGTGTCTAGGGTCATAAAACATTAAGGTCATTTCTCTCTATAAAGAATCATGTCAGACGACATTCTTAAATTTTTCTTACTGTAAAAAAATTAAGCTGAATGCCGAAAAACTCCAGATCATAAAACATTAATTACGTTAATTTCCCTCGATAAAAAAACATTTAAAAAAATTAAATTTCAAGAATTTTTCAAGAAAGCGATCGTTTAATTGTTTCTTTTTTCGTTTCTTAAATGTTTAAAACCCCACAGTTTTTTTTCTAAAATCGATGGCTCACAAAAAACGAAAAACTATCGTTTTTTTTCGATCGTTCTTCATGTTGTTACAAAGCAAATAGTTCTACTTGACACTTATTAAATCTTTGATTTAGTAAATTGATTTTGTTTACATTGCACTATTTCTGTATCTCAGACTTATTGCGTTTCTTAAATGTTTAAAACCCCACAGTTTTTTTTCTAAAATCGATGGCTCACAAAAAACGAAAAACTATCTTTTTTTTTCGATCGTTCTTCATGTTGTTACAAAACAAATAGTTCTACTTGACACTTATTAAATCTTTGATTTAGTAAATTGATTTTGTTTACATTGCACTATTTCTGTATCTCAGACTTATTGGACTTTTTAAAGTTCTTGATTCTAAAAGTTGTTTTCCTATTTCAAAGTTTTCTGGTTATCGCTGTAGATTTTTAAAATGTTATTCAATTATTTATTGATGTATTTCGAGGTAGCGGATACGATGAGTGTGAATATGTCCCTGTTGAAGAGAAAGAACTATGTTTGGAGAATAAGAATAAGGTCGTCGTCCACAATCCATATTTATCATTCTTTTAATACAGGGTGTCCCGATAAACATGGGAATTTAGTGACGAGTTCGATATCGTTTTTGTTATAAATTAGCATTGTAATAGCTGATTTCAAACGCCATAGTATTATCATGTCTGCTAGAGTTTATTTTATGAAAACGGTAAATGGCTGTAAAGATGTGTCTAATGTATCCGCAAGATGAACAGTGAAGACGGACAAGTTACTCTGTTTGTAAACTTTATTTTTCTTGTTTTACTAAGTACAGCCGTATGCAGTCAAAACATTAACAAACAAATTGTAAACATAGCAGACGAAATTCTTACGGATTACAGCTTTCTCAGTAGCACTATACTAAATCAAAGAATCATTTAAAAAGACGATATCGAATTCGTCACTGAATTCCCATGTTTATTGGCTCACCCTGTACTGAAGAGTCACCCAGAAAGAATGGAACTGTAAAGACGATCCGAAACTCAAATACTATGTAAAGACGATCTGAAACTCAAATACTATGTAAAGACGATCTGAAACTCAAATACTATGTAAAGTCGATCTGAAACTCAAATACTATGTAAAGACGATCTGAAAATCTAATAATATTAAAGACGATCTGAAACTCAAATACTATGTAAAGACGACCTGAAACTCAAAAACTATGACGATCCCAAGGTTAAATTACGTTGTTTGTCTTGAACAATGGAATATTTTATGATTTGCCCACAAAAGAAAAAAGTTTACAGATGCAAATATAATGGATATGAGGAAACAGACAGTCTACATTCCGTACAGTCGTCTCTGAAGTCATTCTTTGTGGGTTAACTGTATCTAGCAAACATATATCACAAGAATTTTTTTATCAGCAGATTTTTACTTGATTTATTTCATTATTTTCTTTCTTTTTCGTTCAAGGAATATCTAGTTTATGACCAAATATTTTCATTTATACAAATATTACTTTTCAAATAATATTTTATTTCAGGTCCCTTGGTGGGGTTGGCTGGTTCTAGCAATAGTTTTAGTCATCATTCTTCTTACAGTTACAAGGAATTTAGAAAATAAAAATGAAAATTACATTTTTTTCTGAAAAAATTTGAAAGTTGGGGCTAAAAGGATTTACCCACAAACTCTGGATTTCCTATATCTTTGTAACCCAATTTCAAACTTTTAACTATGTTGAATAAAAGTTTTAAATGTCAACGTTAACACCATTAGGTTACAAAGAAATAGGAATTTCAATATTTGAGTTTATGAAANGGCCACCATATTAATAATATTAAATACAATAGACAGGACACCATATTGATAATATTAAATACTACAGAGTACAGACAGTACACCATATTGATAATATTAAACACCATATTGATAATTTTTAAAAAATATGTCATTTGATGACTACAATTTAAGATAGAACTAAAAGTCGTAATTTAACTTTTTTCGGTAATTCAAGAGTTTCTTGCGGGCGTTAAAATCTCCTTCTTTGTTTTTTATATTGAACAATTTTTTAAATATTAGAATGATTTATGTACGCTGCAAAGAGGGTGATAAGGTAATTTTACAAAGTTATTCATTTTAAAATGAAGAATATGATATTCGAAATTACAAAATATTTTGCTCAAAATTTCGAAAAAAAAGTTAGGAATTTGAAATTTTTGAAAAATTGATTTTTGTATCAATACAACTTGGTTGGTTTTTGAAATTCTTTAAGTTTTTTTTTCACTTTTACCAAATTACATTTCACAATTTTATCCTAAACATTGCTTGAATTCTAAAATGATAAATGTTGATCTTGAAAGAAGAAACATTCAAAACGAAAAAAAAACTAAAAAAAATGGATTGTAAATAATCGTTTTTGGTTTTCCCTTATATATTTTAGCTAAGAATAAAAATATGGAAAAGTTGAAAGAATTTTTATCGAATACAGTTTTTAAATTGTATTCTGTAGGTTTGAAATATATTCTTAATTGCAACTACGCATTTTACTGTTCCCAAGGAGTTCATCGAAGAAACGATTATCCGGGATTATTCTTGACCAACATTATTTTCTGGAAGTTCCTCTTAATCGGATTATTTTGACTGAATTCTGTCGCCTGTTGAGCTAAACTTTACTTTCAATCCCACACTTCAGTGTATTAAAAATCAACATTGGTGCCGGACTAAAAGTATTTCTATTTGAAAGTTTGTTTAAATCTGTATTGTAAAGGTTAAAGAGAGAAAAGAGAGAAGGAAGTCTAAAAGAGTTCATGGGGGCTGTGGTTGGACGAAGAGGTAAAACAAATATTTTTCTGAAATTATTAAACTTGTTTTTTGATTTCTTAAGATTTTGGATTTGATGAGATTAGAAGTTAAAGCACAGTTTGGCAATTTGACGTCTCATTGAGATCTATAGACATCTCTGAAAATTGTTCATCACTGATGCTTTTTTGTAGCCCTAGGCAACTATATTGTAAAATTTCAACGCGCTTATATATATATATATATAGCTTAATCTTAAAAGGGGTAATTGGCAATATACTGTCTGCTTTTTGTGTGAGAGCATGAAAATATTGGTTCGCAGCAAGTATTCAATACATTTTTTATTTTCATTAATGTGAACTGATCCCTTGCTACAAACCTTAAATCACTTTTATCTTTAAAACCTGATAATAATTTCACTTAGATCTAACGGAGTTAAAAATTATAATTTGCAATTTTCACTTGTTTTGAACTTAAAGCAAAGGGATTCTAATTTTGCTGCTAATTCTTTTAACATTTTATTGTCTAAACCAGAAACCTCCCTGGGAAACCATAGATTTTACTGATCCCAAAAGTTCCAACCTACCCACGTAGTTAAGCATCTAAATATCATGTATCCCTCATTTATCCGTCATTGTTGTCCTGGTTTTAAACTATAACTTTCTTTAACATAAATATTTCAGGAAAGACAGTGTTGGGGCTCAAGAATATAGGTAACGAAGGATTGTCCTTTTTTTGTTCAAAAAATTGTTTCAAAGCTTTTAATAGTCATATCATATTGGAATATATTTCCGAGCTTTAACGCCAAAAGAATTTTCTAAAAGCAAATTTAGTTGCCAGTTCCAAAAATCCCAATTTAGGGCTGAACAATATAAATATGTATCAATATAAGTACGTATCATTTGAATTTGAGATATTATTGTTTATTTAGAAGTGGCAAGAAGACCAGCTCAGCAAGTAACCATATACCCATGGGATACATTCAATCCTCATCAGCTGATTCAGAATCTGTTTCCCCTGGCGGATTTTCCAGGAACCAGGAGTTTACTCCTCCTAGTTCTCAAGGTTTGTCAGATCATCCAGGAGGTTCTGCAGAATATTCTCAATATCAGTCTCCTCTAGGATACTATCAACCTCAATGCCAGCCTCAATACCAACCCTCTAGCAGGTCAAACATTAAAAAAAAGTATTTTACAATAATAAAATAAATTTTAATTGACTCTAGGCATAATTTTTAATTATATTAGACTGGCATGTCTGATAAACAACATGCTCTCAAAACCTTTGACTGATCAAGGTTGTCGGACTTTACGTTATAATGTACTAAAATACTTTTAACTGTTAAAAACTTTGTTTTTAAGTTGTATTATAATATATTAAAAAATATTAATTTTCACATTCTAGAAGGGACAGAAAACATTACTTTCTTTCCAATTTTCGAGATATATGTTTAAAGTAAAATACTCTGTAGTTTTAAGGAACACAAGTAAAGAATCAGCTGTGTTGAGTTCACACCGGACACAGCTTACACCTGGTTTTTTTTGCAATTTAAGCACTTTTCAAGAGATCTACACACGAAGATTTTTGTTTTTGATTACCAGTAAAAGTTTTTAAGGGTACTGATGTAAATCGGCATTGCCCTCTATGGATGAATGGTCACTTTGAATTACGCTTACAGTCTCTTTTAATCTTATAAAAGCGTTTTTTAGTGGAGGCTCTGTGGAGGGCAGTTTTCTTCAAAATATCCAAACCCCGGAATTATCTAACAATCAAACTTATCACTACCCATCCCCACACTACACGCTACCAGACCAAACCCTGTCAGCTGTTTCCGGCGAGAACCAAGAAGCTAACCGTACTCTTACTTATGCAGAGTTACGAAAGAAAGAACGAACATCAGTTTATGTGTAATGTTTATTCATTTAATAAATGTCATATTGTTTAATATTACAGATCCAAATTTAACCATAGAAACAGTCTTCAGTTTGAACAGTATCTTCTAGTAGAGAGATATCAATGCCATAGCTCTCCAGAAGATCAACTCCTTTTTGGATCTAGTAATAGAGTTGAATATTTAATAAATTTTAAAGGCAATAGTCATTTTCAGAACAGATTAGCAATACTAATTTTCAGGATAGATTGGCAATAATAATTTTCAGATAGATTGGCAATAATCATTTTCAGAACAGATTGGAAATATCAATTTTGTAAAATGATTTGTTAAGTTACCAAAGCAAATTCTTACCAAAGCAGGATCCATGTTGGTATCTCTTGCTAGGATCCAGGCGAATTCTGAAACAAATAGTTTTAACTTTTTTATTTTCAAATATTTTGAATAAAATTATATCATTAAGAAGTAATCTGTCTGTTTGTTTGGATTTTCGATCATAACTCATGAACCCGTCGACCGATTTGCCTCAAATTTGTATTTGGGAACTTACTAGAACTACAGAGATGTTCTTATGGCCTGGTTTAAAAAGTCTCAGCTGATTGGGTTGATTTTTATAGCCAGAAATTCCAGAAAAAGCATTGAGCTGATAGTTACTTCTACCATATACCTGCGCTTGGTCGTAAATTAAATTAAAATATAAAATTTTTGTCCTATAACTCAGAATCACAAAACAAAGCTGAGAACATTCCCGTGGTTCTCTGGAGTTCCCCAATCAAAATTTGAGGCCAATTGGCCCAGGGGTTCCTGAGTTATGATCAGACAAACAAACAGACAAAACTACAGAGATTACAAAATAGATATATACAAACCGAAGTGGATGAGACCAAAGATATAATCAACACAGGAGTAAACAATACTGTAGTTCTCATAATCAGTATCTAGGATCCAATAGTCACCATCAACAGGACCTAAACATAGATAAAGATAGATTGCGCATAATTTCATCTTGAAAGATATAAATGTACAGAGATTTTTAAAGATATTCCTAATATATAGATTAACTAGGTCGGTTGTGAACATTTGCTGTTCTTATGTCATTGAGTACTTGTGGTGTACATGAGTTCTGTAGAGAGAAATTTAAGTTAGTTTAGTCCTTCTCATGTCCTTCTTCAGTTCTCGTCAATATGATAAATTGCTTAGTTAAATATTGTTGTTCAAATAGTTACATTCCCGGAGTTATTCTACACTCTATTATGAAATCCATTAAAACACTTTGACCCCTAGAAGTCAGAGTTCGCAGACTGTACAATTCTTGGTGATTTTGCGTACATAAGCTATCTATGTTTATTTATTTATCTATGGACCTAAAACAATAAAAAATATCTTACATTTTTTGTGACTTTTAAATAAAAAATAAAATTAAGAATTTCGTTTTTGCTGCCGAAGTTTGTTTGATCTGCAGTTTTCTTTAATCTTTTAAAGTTTGCTACTGCAACAATGGTAACTTTAGCAAAATTATTATCAAGTATAGTTAACATCTGTCAAAATATCAAAATTATAAAACTTTCTGTCATAAAAAAAAAATTAATAAGAGCTTTGTGAACATCTCAAATTTTGTTTTATACCGCCTTTTGACCAATTGATTACCGACACATGATTCCCCCAAGAGAGGGACGTCATCCCTGGGGACAATTAAGTAATATAACAAACCACTCTGCTATGTATTTATAAAAAAACAATTCTATTTTCATCTCAAAAAGACGATACAATTTTGTAACACTACCTATTCGAGAAATTAAAACTTTACTTAACCACAGGTTCCCTCGTCCAATGTTGCCAAGGAAAAATTGATTTCGGGAACCCTTGGTTTCGTAAAATTCCCTTAACTTCCCTGTATAGAAGTTGTAAATAATTAGAATTTATACTTACTTTCTGGGAAGTGAACTGGAACAGTGTGTGTACAATAACACGTTTATCAACATAACAAGAGTAAAATAATAATTGACGGAAATTGCAAAAAAAAATATTTAATTACGTGGTTTGGACACACACCCTTGAGTTCCCCAGGATGGTTTGGATCTGGAACTGTTGCAGTTCCAAAGATCTCGTCAAAGGACCCGTCTTGTTTGGTGGCAGTATTATGAACTGTGATAACTCCTTCATCTAAAAGTATGACTATTCAATGTTCTTTTAAACCTCTCTAACCAGCTTATAATAATAAAGATAGTGTCTTTTAATTGCATTACTCATTAAATCATTAAAATTTTCGAAAAGGACAGATCATATTACTTACATATTTCTAATTGTTAAAAAAGAATCGGTGCATAGGGTGTTGATTAACAATTTCTAGGATATAAATTATTCAGAGAATCATGATGGTTTTAGTAAGTAAATGAAATCTTAATATAGAATTTATGTGCAAGTGAAAACTTCTTTTCTATTTATATTATTTGAGACTTTTTTGCATTGTTTTTAGTTTAAAAAAAAAATATTAATACGTTCATACAACACATATTATATTTACTTAATTGTTAAAGGATCTATGATCAACAAAAAAAAACTGTTAATCAAAAATCGAATAATTTTCACGAATGCTTTGTTAATATTGCCAATTTCAATAGATAAAATCATGTTTTAAAATTCTTAAATTTTAATTACCATTTAATCCATATTCTGCTCTGACGCATCTTGTGTTTAGCTGGAAGCTTGCTGGAATTCTTTTCTGTTCATACCATTTGCCCAAATACTGAGGAAACATACGTATTTCAGTTTAGATAAATAAGAATTCCTAAATCTTCATATTAATGAAAAATAAAACAGTCAGGTTAAAATTATTTGATTTAATCTTGAACGTAGTTAGTCCGGAAATCATTAAATTTTTTTTAAAGCGCAAAGAAACCCGGAATGCCGCAAATCAGTTTTTAGAACACGTGGAACATATCTCTTACCGCTGCGGCATCAAGTGTAGAAACTGTAGGAGGTTTAGGAGGGCACTGTGCTCTTATACCTCCAAGGAAGGACTGCATGGGCCCTGCAGAGGCCACGCAAAATAAACCACCTAGAAAACAAGCATAAGGGAAAGTAAATCTCATGTTCCTTATATTTTTAAAATACCTATTATTGAGTTAGAGAGGTCGGTGAAATACCTATAGCTGGCTTAAATCCTGAATCACCGATATGAATTCTCATAAATATTTAACTTTGAATCAGCGATTCAGGATTTGAACCAGCAGTGGGTAGTTCAGAGACATCTCTAAAATTTATTAAATCAGCCATTAAATTCATTCGCTGCAAGCTCTTGTTAAAAGTATCAAACCATCTTCAGGTTGCTATATATAGAGTGAACTGTGCAGTATACATACAGAATATATGACAGCAAACCAGGATTGTACGCCAACATTAATAATCCTGTTCTAGTGGGATTAATCTACCTTATACGCTTACGTAGTTTATTTTAAAAGTAAAATATTTTTGTGACAAAATTAAGATTAAAACTTAATTTCACGTGACACAATTCCTATGTATGAAGAAAGTCAATAAACCCAGAAAATTTCATTAGAAGACAAAGATAACAAAGTTGTTTGATTTATTAGAATGACATTTCATTATTTAAAAATCAGCAATATAAAATCATTCTTTGTAAAAAAATCATTAAAGAATTAATAACAACAGTTGAGAATGATTAAAGCCATTAAATAATTTTTTTAACAATATTTTTGTAATTAATTTTTATAATTCTTATATCATTAAATGAATTAAATATTTTGGTCTAAACCCAATCTCTGTCAGTATTTCCTGTCAGTACTTCACCCTTTGGGTTGGGTCTTATTTTTTTGGAAGATTTTTGTATTTAATAACAGTGAAAGCTTTATTTTATTTGTTTTAAATTGATTTCTTAGGACAAATGATTAGTTAAACAAATGATAATACACCTTATTTATGAACAATATTAGCAAAAGTAAGTGAACGAAAAAAAGCTTGACTGAATCACATTTCAAAAGCTAATTAATTAAATAAATTTCTTAAAAAGCTAATTAACTAAATAAATTTCTTAAAAAGCTAATTAATTAAATAAATTTCTTAAAAAGCTATAAATAAATTTCTTAAAAAGCTAATTAATTAAATAAATTTCTTAAAAAGCTAATTAACTAAATAAATTTATGAAAAAGCTAATTAACTAAATAAATTTCTTAAAAAGCTAAATAACTAAATAAATTTTTCGGAGTGGGTGCAAAATGTTGATAGTTACAAAATGTTACATTTTGCTGGGATAGGTCGGCGAAGACAATTTCTGGGCCGAGCGCTGGGGCCTCTTAAATAATAAATGTTGATTTTAGCTGATTATCTCACACTTCTTTTTCTTTAAATGTTGTAAGTGTTTATAGGCTGTTCTAGCCGCAGCACTTGGCCCAGAAGCAGTCATAACCCCACCAACCCAAAATAATGTGAGAGAAAGTACATTGTTCGACATTTAAGAGGCCGCAGCGCTCGGTCCAGAAATTTTCTTAACCTAGCCTAACCCAAAATAATGTGACAGACAGCACATTATTGAACATTTACGAGGCCGCAGCGCTAGTCTATCCTGGCCGCAGCGCTTGGTCCAGACCTTTGATTTTTTTAAACTAAATTTTACTTTAGACCAAAAGTACCTTTAGACCAAAAGTTACTTTAGACCGAAAGTTACTTTAGACCAAAAGTTACTTCATATGAAATGTTACTTCATGCGAAATGTTACTTCATACGAAATGTTACTTCATACAAAATGTTACTTCATACGAAATGTTACTTACTGGTACTTAGACAAAAATTTAGACAAAATGCTATTAAGCCTAAAATCCAAATTTATTTGGGAGAAATTTTGTCATCAAAACCGACATGTTGTTTCGTTTTTCTATTTTTTTTTAAAAACGAAGAATCATTGGTGTTTAGATAGATAAAAACGAAATAAAGACGATCGTCGTTGATACCACAGAACACATTTTTTCCCTCATATTAGATTTAAAAAAGAGATCCAATATAAGAAAGTCAGAATGTATAAAAAAATTGATTTCCCAGTGTGACGATTTTTTAAAATTCTTCGTATAATATTGCCAATTTCAATAGATAAAATCATGTTTTAAAATTCTTAAATTTTAATTACCATTTAATCCACCTCCTAGTTCTCAAGGTTTGTCAGATCATCCAGGAGGTTCTGCAGAATATTCTCAATATCAGTCTCCTCTAGGATACTATCAACCTCAATGCCAGCCTCANTTCCCCCCTCACCGAACTATACAACATGAGAATGCAGAATTCTATCTGTTACCATTCATAAAATACACCGCAGACGGAGCAAAGGCCCAGCCCCGTAAATTCATGTCTGAACCAATAAAGTTAACAAAATCTTATCCGAACCACACCTTTAATTGTTCAACCCCAATCTAACGATCATCTGAGCCTCACAGTGGAGCAGATTACATTTATTAAAAACACCGCAGACGGAGCAGAATAGATCATTGTTTAATACAGAAGATTAAACTGATACAATTTATTAAGAACACCGCAGACGGAGCAGAATAGCTCATTGTTTAATACAGAAGATTAAACTGATACAATTTATTAAAAAACACCGCAGACGGAGCAGAATAGATTATTGTTCAATACAGAAGATCAAACTGATACAATTTATTAAAAACACCGCAGACAGAGCAGCATGGATCATTGTTAAATACAGAAGATGAAACTGATACCATTTATTAAAAACACAGCAGACGGAGCAGAATAGATCATTGTTTAACACAGAAGATTAAACTGATATAATTTATTAAGAACACAGTAGACGGAGCAGAATAGATAATTGTTTAATACAAAAGATCAAACTGATACAATTTATTAAAAACACCGCAGACGGAGCAGCTTGGATCATTGTTTGATACAGAATTCTTGCTGGTATTATATATTATAAATACACCAAGACGGAGCAGCCTGAATCAGACTAGATCATGTTTATTACAGAATTCTAACAGATACAATTTATTAAATACACTGCAGACGGAGTAACCTACACCATTGTTTAATACAGAATTCTGATTTACCCTGCAGACGGTTGAATATTACATACTAGTTTTCGGTATTATACAGTGATCCAATTATATGTGTATGTAATATTTTCTCTTTTTATTTTGTAGAAAGTGATCAAAGGCCGAATTTAAAGAATTTAAAGCCGCTGTTTAAATTTAAGCTACTGCTCAAATATGGTTAGTTTCACTTAAAATTGTATTCAATTTTTCAAGATTTAAGCCTGCGCTCAATTGAAACCGGTTTTTGGGAGATTTGAGACGCGGCTAAAATTCATTAAATACGGACTCAGAACAAATATTTGATGGTTAGAAATTACGCAGAAAAGGCAGTTTGCAAAAATTGGAAGTAATTGTTTTGGTCGTCTTGCTCACTGCTCAGTCTATAATATATTTAATCAATGTCTCGGCCCCACTGTCAAGGAAGCTTATATTTGAAAAGGCACCATTTTGAGAACAATTTCTGGGGAATTAAATTCAATATGTCAATCTTACTTAGTGCGACTATGATGAGCATATTCTTTCAGACCTGACTTGTTTAGAACTGAAGATAATACATCCCCCTCTAGTCTTTATACTTGTTTATTTGTATAATTTATTGATTTATATAAGGGCAAGATAAGCTAGGAAACAATGATAAATATTGAAAAGCTAAATCAGACAATTAAAGATTCAGATATTTTTTATGACGCATATTTTTAAGCTTAGAATTATTAATTATTATTATGTACGATCAGTTTGGCACTAAATATGTTTTATAAACACGAGAATTAAGATACCACTATAAAGCCACCATATATTGCCTACAGTTGAAAAAAAGACAAAGAACATATCAAAAGAAAAAAGATTGTTCGTCTTCTGCATGCTATTCCAAATGTGATTGTGCTTTATTGTAACTTCAAAATAGACGGAGGGGAAAAACATTTGAATAATTATATTTTATATCTAATCAAAAGGAATCTCCACAAACATCTTCAAAAGTGTGGAGCACTAATATTGAAGGTTCATGTCCTCATGCTTAATGCCCCATCGATAAAGAAGTCTTTACTTAATTTCCATAATTATTGGGACACTCTGTATGATAACAATTGGGCGTTTTAACCTCCAATCGTAGCGGAAAATGCGTCAAACTTTAAAGAGGCAGTTTTTCCAATGCACAACCATTTCTCCTATATTAGTGTTAATGCAAACAAATGGTATTACATTTTATTCATGCCGGCCTGTATTTAAGGATATTATATAGGGATGTCAATGAAAACTAGATGTGTTAAAAATTTGCAGGTTGACAGGTTTAATGGTTTACAGGTTTAATGGTTTACAGGTTTAATGGTTTACAGGTTTAATGTTTTACAGGTTTAATGTTTTACAGGCTTAATGGTTTACAGGTTAATAGGTTGACAGGTTTAGTGGTTTACACGTTTAGAGGTTTACAGGTTTACAGGTTTAGTGGTTTATAGGTTTAATGGTTTACAGGTTTAGTGGTTTACAGGTTTGCAGGTTTGCAGGTTTAGTGGTTTATAGGTTTAATGGTTTACAGATCTAGTGGTTTACAGGTTTAGAGGTTTACAGGTTTACAGGTTTAGTGGTTTACAGGTTCAGAGGTTTAGGGGTTTAGTGGTTTACAGGTTTAGTGGTTTACAGGTTTATTGGTTTACAGGTTTACAGGTTTATAGGTTTAATGGTTTACAGGCTTACAGGTTAACAGGTTTAGTGGTTTTTAGTTTTATTGGAGTACAGGTTTTCAGGTTTATAGGTTTAATGGTTTAAAGGTTTAGTGGTTTACAGGTTTAATGGTTTACAAGTTTAGAGGTTTATAGGTTTAATGGTTTACAGGCTTACTGGTTAACAGGTTTAGTGGTTTTCAGTTTTATTGGACTACAGGTTTTCAGGTTTATAGGTTTAATGGTTTAAAGGTTTAGTGGTTTACAAGTTTAGAGGTTTACATGTTTACAGGTTTTTAGGTTTCATGGATTACGGGTTTATTGGTTTACAGGTTTATTGGTTTACAGGTTTATTGGTTTACAGGTTCTTCTTCTTCTTCTTCTTCTTCTTCTTCTTCTTCTTCTTCTTCTTCTTCTTCTTCTTCTTCTTCTTCTTCTTCTTCTTCTTCTTCTTCTTCTTCTTCTTCTTCTTCTTCTTCTTCTTCTTCTTCTCCTTCTTCTACACATCTTAGCTCTGGTTTAAACTTAATAATGCATTTAATTTTAAATAATGCTTGTTCAAGTCCAAAGTGTCATTCCCTATTCTAAGGTATACCCACCCCACACCTAATAGTGCTAACCCATATTATTGCATGACTTGAGAAAACTGCCTGAAAGAAGGCTTGAAAACCTAGGCGTACACATATGGATAAACGGGATAAGCACAACAACTTATTCCTTTTCAGAAAACTTTCATAGAAAGGCAATTTAGAATATTCGTCTTTGAGCGCTCAAAGTGCCTTTATAAATTTTGAAATCCTGGGCTTTAGAAATCCTTCTCTTAAAAAGTTTTCAGCTCCGTAAAATGCTAAATTTTTCAGCTTTAGACATTTTAAAGTTTTCATGGGTAAATAAAATTATATGCTCTGAGCTGTGTAACCAGAATCAATATATATACTCTGCGACTATAGGCCTATGTTGTATGTACTAATCATGCAAAAAGAAACTGAAGGTTTGACAGGTCTAGGAAGTAGGATTTTCAAGGAGTAAAGCAAATTATTCATCTCATGGCGTACTTTGAAATTGGATAATGTATGTTTAGTCTGTTTTCTGATACTTCCCATCGGGAGGTGGGGTAAGGGGGGGGGGGTTCTTAAAGTATTTAAATACCCCTGTGTCCCATTTATACGAGCCTTTCTTGGTGGTGGTGGGGGGGGTGTGTGTGTAAATTCAACTGTTTTAGCAATTCAACAATTTAATTCAACAATAATTCACTTGAAAAAGAAATTTCTACATCATCAACGAAATGGTATAAATCTGTGCATACTGCCAAAAGTTTAATCAACCCTAAAATCGTTCTTCTTAAAATGTTATTTACTGTGGTTAACCATGTACGTCGTTAGTGTATATAAAATAGAATTTTTATTATAGATTATTTTTTCCGAATTTTGTATTGTTATATATCTCTCGACCCTGATCTTTGTCAATTTCGGGGAAAGAAAATTTTTAAAGAAGTTTGGGGAATTTAGAAAAAGAAAAAAAACGTGAAAAGATTTTATAAATTAGATAAGCTTTTTTAACTTAAGAAAACTTTTTAAAATAATATTTTTTGATCTTATAATTTTAGGATCAAAAAGAAAACAAATAATCATTCCTTTATAAAAATCTGCTTTTTTGGTATGCAACTTAACAATTTTCATTTAATCCCGCCTCTTTTAAAAATAATATAAATGATAAAAATAATTTGTTATTTTCTACAGAGAAATGTCATTCCTTTATAAAAAGCTGGTTTTTTGGTATGCAACAATTTTCATTGAATCCCGGCGGGATTTTTCATTAAACACTGCATTGAAAAATCTTAGAAATGCGCGAATTTTTTTTTAAAAATTCACAAATTCCAATTTTAAATCAGTAAGTTCTCTTTCAGCTTTTTAAAAAGGAATGTCATTTACTCTCAGACAAATTAGAATCAATGGAAATTTGTCTAAGAGTAAATTAAACATTCCTTTTTAAAAAGCTGGTTTTTGGTATGCAACAATTTTCATTTCATCCCGCCGGGATATTTTCATTGAAAGATAAATTGAAAATCTACAAAGGCAAAAAAAAATCCGCAAGCCCTCGGGTTTATCATTGAATTCCCAGGAATGTCATTTACTCTCAGACAAATTAGAATCAATGGAAATTTAAACCCCCTCGGGATTCAATGATAAACCCAAGGGTTTATAATTGAATCCCGAGGGTAAATGATACATTCATTCCCCCTGAGATATGATGCACATTATTCAATTTTGATATTTTACAATGTAATATTATAGACTAGCTGAAGTGCCCGGCGTTTCCCGTTGAAAAAAATCGAATTTAAAAAATTAGTTTTGAAGAGAAAAATTTCGGCCCATTCAGTCTCGTCAAATATATATATTTGCCAGCTAAATATTTATACATTATGTGTACAGGGTGACTTACCCTGTATATAATTGAGCGGAGGGCTTTATTATGTAATAGAAAAAGAAGATAGTAAGACCCATTAAGCTGTGGAATAGGAAGACGACTGTAAATATTTTAAATAAGCATGGAGGTCATCTAAAGGGATGAAGGGAGGGGTTTTTTAAGGGTATGGTCGAAGTGCTTAGTGGTGTAGTTCACTGCAATAGAGAGTAAGGTTCTTAAAGGGACCGTTAAGGTAAAATAAAAGGGGGTATAGGCTGAATTTTAAACATTTTAGAAGTTGATATCTGATGTCCTTGTCTTGAGAAATTGATATAAAAATTGCCTACACCCCCTTTCATTTGACCTTAATAGTATTTTTAAAGATGGTTTACATACAAAGATTAGGTAGGGCCCTACCATTTCTCTTTGTTTAATCAGATAATGTAATTTTTTATCTACGATAATTTGAAAAATAAACTGAACACCAAAAGTGTGGTTTTATAGTCACGTAGGTTTGTCTAAACTAGAATCATTTAGTAAAAGAAATTGCAATAAATGTACAAAAGTGAAAATACGCGGTCAGCTCCAAATTGGTAAACAATTTTCTAAACTTTAAATCAATTCTCAGGAAAAAAAAGATGATTTGACATGTACATGCTATAATAACATACAAGATATCCAGTGCATGAACATACAAAATACACACAATACTTGCTTTGCTATTTTTGAAAGTGGTTCCTGGGATTTAATGAATTTATAGAGTAAGAATTAATCTGATACTCTTTTATGACATTTTAAGAAAAAAATTGAAAAAATAAAGTAGGAAATTGTTAAACATGGGAATTTAGAGGCGAATTAAATATCGTCTTTAATTTTCCGATAATTAAACGACAGAAAGTGCATATAAAAATTGAATGTCAAATTTGTAATGAGCTTTCCAAAATGAGGTCTTCCTTCTTTGTATCTTTAAAATTGGCGGAGATATTAAACGAGATATTAAACATTTCAACAATTTTGTTGAATTTTAATATACTGGAATCTGGACAAATTTCCTAATATCTCCGTCAATTTTGAAGGGGACAAAATGGTAGACCACATTTTGGAAATCTCGAGACTTGTGGTTACGGTGTATCTATTTGAAATTTAAACGGAAATATTTTTTTCAAATCTTTAAAGGAACTGCTTATTTGCCTCATTCTGAATTTGTTTATCCTTGCAACTTATTTTCATAGAATTTTGATAATTCAAACATAGTTATTTAATCAAGGTAGGAATTATCAAAGGTTGCAAAGATATAGGGATTAGAGTTTTTAGGTGTTGATATTTCATGGAATGAAGTTTAGCGTTAAAATCGTTCTTGTGTTTACTTAGTTGCAGTACGACATGTTGGTAAACAATATCAAGACAAATAGCTTTGTGTGCAGAGAAGTGAAGCTCGAGGTTAAGGACTAGGGGTAATGTTGGGTGAGTTGGTTTGGTTGGAAATCAAATAT